TGCAAAGCTTTTAGAAACAATTTCTGAACTTTTTTTTTATTCATAATTAGTTTATAAATTTGTTATGTTTTTTTTTCTCTTAAAATAGGTTGTTTTAAAGTCTTTTAATAGCATCCGTAGACCTATATTTATATTAAGATGATTTTCCAGCATATTTATAAGCATATAATAACTTATTATACATTTAACCTACAGTCATTAACTTCTATTTTTTAACAATCTTTTGTAAACACCAATAATATAAATTAAGTTGAAAAAATTTCATTAGAAGAATTGTGGATCAGTGACCCTACTTTAATTTTTTAATGGTCATGTCATCAATAATATGAACAAAATTGCACTATTATTTATGGTTGGCTGCGGGTTCCTGCATTATCAAAAAAAAAAAAAAAAAAAAATTGCACTATTATTTTGCAAAAATTAAAAAAATAAAATAAAAATAAAGTGATAGATAATTATTGTTTTGCCAATGATGAGAGGAGAGCATGCCATGTGGCGATCACATTCTTTCAGATAAATGATTTATAATGGAATAAAAAAGTAATTCTTGTTTATTCACGTGTTACTTATTCCAAAATCCAAATTGGAATAAAATTGAATTGTCTTCTCATGAAATTGCAACATTATATATATATAGTGGCTCACCACCTATCTTGTCAAACTTTAATCGGCACAGAAAACTATGAAACAAACTATTTTGTGCCGTTGCTTTGAAAGGAAAAGGAGAATGCCATTTTTGTTGGATACAAGCTGACGTGTCACCCTCTTATTTTTTTTTAATTGTTTTTTTAACTTATATCATATAATATGATTTTGAATAAAATTTAGAGGGTTTTAAGTTTTAACTTTGCCGGGCAAACAAATTAATTTAATTATTAACTTTGAGTTTTATCTAGTAATATGGTGGTGTTCGCAAAAGTTTTTGAGAAGTGGTTCTCACTTTTTTCTGGATGAGAATCACTTTTAAAGTGTGAGCTGTATCAACTTTTGCTTATACTTCTAGATTAATTGTCTTAAGTTATAATTTAAAAAAACATCTATGGACATTCGTTTTATATACAGTTAATTTTTCAGTATATTTGCAAACACTAACAATTTTTAAAAATAAGCACTTAACACTAACTTAACTTACAATTACAAACTTCTATCTACAAATAAGTTCTTACAAAAACCACCTATATTTTGGATATGGGCAATTACCTAGCTTATGGAATTAGTATATTATTTTCAATGTCACAAAAAAAAAAAAAAATAGTAAATCATTTGTTAAATAATAAAGAAAATGATGGGCTTCTTAATAAATATGAGTATTAATCAATGATTAAGCCCACTTTCCATATGAAAAGCTTATTCATGTGTCCACTTTGTCCAACAATTTATTCTCCCAAATAAACCATATTTAATTAATTAGGCCTTAATCCCATCAGCGCCCACAGGTTAAACTAAACACCCCCACCCAAATTAAACAAATGTATTAGATTAATTAACATAAACAAGTTTAATTATTTTGTGTACAAGGTAGGGTTTGATGAAAGGAGCATGTGCGAAGAAGAAGAAAAATAAAATAAAATGCCCTCGAAATTCCAAATTATATTACATATATCAGAGTTGTGTAAGTACGGATTTTGAATTTAATAATTTAAGGATTATTCTGCACTCCCCAATAATCATCATCATCAGATTCCCACCATGTTCTGCTGCACATGAAACAAATTTAGAGAGAGAGAGAGAGAGATATCTAGAGAGAGAGAGAGAACAATTAAATATTATATATATTTACAGTGGGTTATTGTTTTTTGACAGAAGCATAGCAGCGTAAATAATAATGTAATTGTGCATGCATGCATGCATGGTAAGTAACTAGGTATGTATTATTTCAGTAACAATATATATATTATATATATTATATAAAATATAAAATGAGATAATACACAAATCACAATTGGGTGTATGAGTGGATAAGGAGGGGGGGCTCTGTGAAAATGTACTGCAAGACCACGTGATGCTCACATGGTGGAACTGCAAATAATATGTGTGTGTGTGTGTGTGGAATCATTTTCAAAAGTTTCTTGTACTCTTCAATCATATAATATAATTTTTATTCAGTTGCTACAAAATTAAATTCCCTACCAAAATTTAATTAATTCTCAAAATATTATTTAATGTTTATTTTTTTATATATAATATTATATGTTTGCATTTTTAATTTTAATTTTAATTGTCCCCAATTTTGTACACCCAATTATTCAATTTGGCCCCCCTTCTTTTCCATGGCATCTCATTATAGTTTTCTGCTACCTCTGCTAGTAATAATTATATTTTAATTTGTCATTTATATGATATTAAAAGGTGGCAATATTTTACTGCACACACACTCAGAGATGAAAATCTTACTGCTTAATGGAATAATAACTATTTTATTAATTAACCGTGAATATATATATTCAATCTATATTTTTTTTTGTTTTGTTTTTGTATTTATATACAATGTTACTAATAAATTAATTTAAAGAAATAAAATTATCAAAATAAATAAATAATAATTAAATGAAACATACTCAAATAATAAAATTATTTATCAAATTAAATTATTTAAATTAATTTTATGAAGTTTGATATTACAAAGTAAGTAATATAAAAAAATATCAAATATAAAGTTTTAATAAAGTAAATTAATTTCACCGGATATATTTAAAAAAATTATATATTAACCTAATAATTTGAGTCATCCAATCCAATCATGATAATAATAATATATTTAGACAATATTATAATTAATTAATTAGTTACATAGGATCCTAAATTGTAATAATATGGTTCCAAGCCATTTAAAGACAAAAGATAATAATAATAATAATAATAATAATAATAATAATAATAATAATAATAATAATAATAATAATAATAATAATAATAATAATAATAATAATAAAGAAATTGGTTACTAAACATACAAATGAGAAACTGTTGAATGGCTTCTGAATAATTACAATTATTTATTATTTGAGTCATTAAATCCTATTTCTGAGGCATAAAATTGAGAAATATCTATATTTATTTGTTTCTTAGCGCCTGTTGTTTATTTATTTATTTGGATGCCCTCAGCAATAAAGTAATTATTAGTATTTATGATGATCAGCATTGTTTTCAGACAGAAATAAAAAAGGTTGGCAGATTATTGGACCAATAGCTGTCGATTGTGAGTGAGTGTGTGTGTGTGTGTGGGGATAGTATACGGTCTGTACCATGATATCATTACATGTACCTGCGACTGTATAAATGGTTGAATTCTCAGATATAATTCAGAGCTCTGTTTATCCAAAATTAAATTCAGAGGTGTGCTGTAATTGTAATTATTCTTGAGAAGTGGGCTTTTTTATCTGTGAAAATCTGGAATTGCCACGTGAAGCCCATTTTGCATGTGGCAGAAGCCCATTTTGATGGGGACAAAAGGGTCAATCAAGATTGTCCAAAAATACCCCATTCTTGATTATGTGTATAATTAATTATTGTGTGTATGAAATTGCAACTGTATTTGAATTTATCTGATAGAAAAATCAAGGATATATATGCCTCTGCGTATAATCAGATAAATTAATCATGAAGGCCTCGTTTGGTTTGGGAGATTAGCTGTAATTAAGTAAATAATGGGACTTTGTTTGATGTTTGGTCTCTCCAATAACTTGTTGAGTCGACCCCGCAAATATTATGTTATCATACCTTATCTTGCCTTTTAGGCATTTTTTATATTGGAACTTTCAAGGTCCAATAATACAATTGTATTTCATTATATTATTTAATTTTATCTTGGCTAATTTTATCTTGACAACTAAACGAGGCGTAAGATTAAATTGGATTTCAAGGCCTCAACAACTACAAGTGATTTCGGGGGAATATAAATTTTGTAAACTATTAATTCAGTCCGAATTTAATGCCTCTCCAGTCTATGATTGGAATCTAGTTGCTAATGCTTATAAAACCCATTACAGGATATTAGGTAAAACGATAACAAAACTCTTAATTGTATGATTCTCAGATTAATTAAAAGGATGGTGGAATTACTATCTCATTAACCAAGAATCATTCAAATTATCATTGGCTCTAGAAAAACTGACGAAGAAGGAAATATTATTTTATTTTTATATGTAGATAAACCCCCAACAAGATGTCATGGCAACTCTAATCTTAACTATTTCTTTACATTTCATAGGAGATTTCTCACATCTGAAAGACCGAAATACTGAACTTCTTTCAAACCTCAAATGTAGAAAATTAAGTGACTATCAAAACTTAAAAAAAAACATTCCTATATAGAGTAATGCTTAGAGAAGACTCTAATCAATCGTTTAGGAAAGAAAAATTCCTAGCAGAATTACCAGATCTTCTAGGAGAAAATGTTAGAAACAAAATTAGAGAAACTAGTGAAAAACAGGTTATACAGTATAATGAATTCAACTTTTTTGGTTTTTCTTTTACAAATGCTAAGCCCAGAAAAACACCTTCTCCTAGTGTTATGAATCATGGAGCTCATAAAATCGATTGTTTTTCTAATCTCTAGCGAACCAAGGTCCAAAAATTGGGCATGCAGCAATCCATTTTTTTCGGAAGAGAGGTTAGCTGGAGAGCTTAATTTGTTGACGGCAATATATAAATATCGCAGATAGCGATCCAATAATTATGAGAGCTTAGCTGATGTACCACAATATGTTAATAACCTGCATTCTATCCTTTTAAGCGCACACCGAGACCTTCCTAAGCAAACCGTTATCGGCAAGTTTGTTAACTGTTGTTTGTGAGTTTTAGAAGAAAAAAGAAAGCAAATGAAAAAAAAATGTCGTTACAGTTTTGAACGTAAGCAGAAAAAAAACGAAAAGCGCACAAAAAAACCAATAATTCGAAGTGTTTCTAGCTGTTCGGAATGCAAACTAATGGTATGGTTCTTTTTTCTTTGTTCCCCTGAAAATTTGAATTATTCGATTCATGTATGGTGCAAGGGTGAATAATCGAAGCGAATAGAAACTTGAAGAATGATTTCGTTTTATGTAACAATATATGAAAAGATGCCTCTAGAGAACATGAATTAGGCAACATCATGTTTCCTAAGTTAATAATACATGCAAACATCCAACCAATTGCTTAGAAACGGAGCCCCACAGAAGCAAAGACCACGCATTATATTCGAAAAATATTACAGCATAGTAAGAACAATGTGATTACTTAACTCAGTTTTCAAATTACTTTTAACACCACCATAATCAAATTCGAAACTCTTGCCCCGATTTGGAAACTTTTCGTCATCATCTTTAGCGTTCTGCAGAGGTGCTCCCTCTGATAAGCGAACCTCGTCGGTTGCCACCTACAATCACGTCTTTAAACCTATATATCGGACCCAGCACCCGGCCCATCCTCTGCACACCATATATACACGATCAAGTCAATATAAAGAATAAACCAACTAAATGCAAGAGCCTAAAACACTACTTCTGATCGTCTATATTAATATACACAATGTTCACATGTCAAGATCACATAATATATGAGATATATATAGTAGCAAAACATTTACTATGGCCGATATAAAGAGGCAAGGAGCAACAGCTACAAAGCCCATGAATGGTTTTAATCTGTAAATTACAATTGTGAAGTTTCGTCGGAGATCTTCAGCCAGTAATAACAAGCAGTCTTTGGGGAAGTGTCAAATTTGTTACATTTCTTTCTCCTTTTTGTCCAAGAACGGAGGGAAAGGAATTACGTTGATGAGGTACACCGAAAAAGGCAATGCTTTATAGAGCTCCCTCAAATGGAAAACTGAAATATCTAATAACAAACTCCATTTTGGAATAGGCCCTAGGCAATCGACAACCGGCCCTTTTTTCGTTTTTTTAAACGTATAATTGTATTTTTTTTTAAGTTTAACTGAAAATGCATTTTTTAAAAATTAATTCTTTAATAAGACCTCAAGAAACTAGAAAACATGTATATAATATGTAATAAGGCCTCGATAAACTTGTTCTGGAAAGATCTGTAAATGATGAAAGAGCCAGAAATATATTGTTGCTCTCTGATTCCTTCCCCCCTCAACAAGCAATCCACTGTCACTAAGGTGAAGATACTGGTTTCTCATGCAGACACGAGTTAAGACACACGCACAAGGTAAAAATAGCATTTTGGGACTTCACCATGCTCTCCCTAATAATTCATGGAAAGTAAACACAACTACAATAATCAAGTCGGACATAAATCAATTATATATCAGTAAATTAGGTCTACCATGATCAAGAAGATAGTTCACATATAAGCATGGCATACTGATCTGGAAAATACAAAAGACCATCCATTACTAGCTATTCTCAGCAGGTAAAATCACTAACTAAACAGTTACTATGAGTTGATACGTATGTTAAGAGTGATTACCTCGTCGTTAATACCAAACTGCGACTTGAGGTGCAAAATCTGCCACCTCCCTTGCTGCCACCTGTGACCGATAATTACAAGTCCCATAACAGTTGCCGCAATGAAAATAGACCAAAACGTATTCGCCTCCTTGGCGTGTTCATATACAGAAATGGCCCGTCTTTTCCACCAAGCTTCACAGGGAAGGTCAACACCATCATATTTGTCTCCCTCAACCGGCTTCTCGAAATTCTGCAAGTCTGAATCCAATGCACTTTCAAGAGGTTCAACCGAGTCACCACTCTCCTCGGTATTATTAGAGTTGCCTATTGCTGTTTCACTATGCAACGAACTAAACTCGGAAGTGCTGTAAATATTCTGCATTTTGTCAAAGGACACATCTTTCGCAAAGTTCTCACCACTGACAGACAACGTGTTAGCCTTCTCGTCGGAAATCTGAGTTCCAGGAAATTCATCAGAAATCAATCCTTTGATAGTCGCGTTTTCTTCATCCTTCAACTCCGATGTAACCCTTTCCTCTTTAACCAACTCAGAAACACCATCTTCACCATCCTTTTCATCATCTATCTCATTGTAGTCAGGTTCGACTGGCAAATTCTCGTGCTGACTCGGAGGAAAAACGAAGTGGCCGGACATAAACATAGGGGTTGATGTCTCAGCCCCGTGTTCGCCTCCACCTAATTTACCTTGGCTATCTTGGCTCGAATCAACATGCTCGGGACCAGGAGCAGCAGCATATGCTGATGCAGTGAGTGATACAACTTCCCACTCATTTCCTCTGGGAGCGGTTTCCTTCTCTTCTTCATTATCCGCCATCTAGATCCAAGAACTCCTATTTACAACAAAAATCGGTGCAAAAATATAGGTAACATATATTAATCACAACAAAATCGCATCAAGCTCGATGTACACGAAACGCATGACATAATCCTGCTAAACGAGAGCATTCAGCTTTTATATAACATCGCTAATAGACATATATTCAGCTCAATGACAAAAAAAAAAGCGCACAATTATCTCCGAACCAATTTACTTTTGTCTGATATTTTACAAATGGTATCAATCTGAGCTTATTCGGTGAATAATCGACGACAAACCAACATTCACAACGATAACACCCCCCACTCAAAAAATAAATTAAAATTAGAAATAATAAATATAAATAGATGCCAGGAGATTACACAATCAGCAAAGAGTTCAATTAGTATTCGATTATTCCCCAAAAATAAAATATTCAGCAACAAAAGCTACAACAATCATTCAACTGTACAAGCAAGCACACACGTCTGCTGCAGCTGGATTAACGATCGGCGACGATAAATCAATTCACAGACATAATCGAGATTCCAAAATAATAAATTAAAATCAAAACTCATCACATAAATCAGCTAAAACAAAAACACGCAACAGATCCGAAAATAGAGAATCGGAACACAGTAAATAATCCAGTCAAAGCAGAGCTTAAAATTCGAATCGGATCGTTTTAAATTCATCACCACATAATTAAATGAAATAATTGATTGCAAATCAAAGAATACTTACGGAAGAGGAGAGTAGAAAAGATAACGATCGAATGGAAAGAAGAGAGGAAAATGATTGAAGATGTCTTGGGAACTGTAATTGCTAAAAGAAAAAAAGAAAAAATAAATAATAATTAAGGGCCAGTATTTATATGACGATAATTTTGGGGTGAGGGGATAAAAGGTACCGGGACAGCCGGTGATGGAGTAGTGGGGGTCTTTCATTTTTTACCGGCTATGGAATGGAACGACGTCGTTTAGAGGGGATGGGGGTCAGTTAAAAGTTTGTGCAGGGGTGGTATTGGATCGGGTTATAAATGGTTGCGTGCGTGGGGAGGGAAAGATTTTACTGTTTCGCGGTTTCTGTGGGCTTGCTTTTTTTGGCTGTAAATTTTTGACGGCTGAGATTAAGAGAAATATAAATTTGTGGTGGATATGAGTTGTTTATTCATCAGGCGAAATGTAAATTTGAGGAAGCTTATATTCATCAGGCGAAAATATAAATTTGGCATCACACTTATAATTCAATAAATTCAAATATTCTCAATTTTACAGTTTATATTTAAATCATACATAGATTGATTGCATACATCAAGTGTTTATATTCCATTAATTTGTAGATTCTACTAATTAAATGGGTTATGTTAATTTTTTTATTCATTTCATAAAAACTTAATAGTTTACGAATTCATAGAATTATTTAGGGCTGGGCATGGGTCGGGTTGGGTAATTATCGGTCCGATTATTATGGATCGGATAATGGTTGGCAACCGACTTTATCGGGTAAACAATGGTGGTTGGTCGGTATTATCGGTGATTTATTTATTGTTATTTTATTTTATTTTAATTTTTTTTACAGTAATATGATGTTTTTTTAAAGTTTTTTAAAAAATATTCAAAATTTTGGGAAAATTTATATTGTAAAAATCTTAACTTTAAAATTAAGAGTTTTTTATTAAATTTTTACAATAAGTAAATATGTAATGAAGAATATGAAATAAGAATTATAAAATAGAAATAGTACGGAGAGGTTTATAAATTTGTGTTTTGAATTTTTGAATTTTAACTTTTTTTATATATTATTTTAACAATTAAAAAATAAAAATTACAAGTAAATATTTATAATAAGAAAAATTATTAAAAAAGTTGTTAGGTCGATAATATCGACCAACTAACTTTTAAGTAAATTGAAAACCACCGGCCGATCCATTTATATATGGGTCGGTTAAAATTACCGGCTCGAAAAAAAAAATTATTGGCCGAAGAAGGGGGTCGAAACTGGGTCGGTTGGCCGATACAACCGACCCATGCCCATCCCTGGAATTATTAGAGGAAAACAACTTTATTCATCTATGATCCACGAAAACTTCTATACACCCGCGTTTTCACGTTTCAGAAGTGTTTTGGGGTTGCTTCTCAAATATTTAAAAATATTGGGATGTTTATGGTAATAATGAAAAATACTTAAATGCGCTTCCACTAAAAAAAAATCCAAAAGCTATTGAAAATAAAGACTCGGAATTACCTACACCTAAAAACATCTTAAATCTTACATCTCTTTTTTCACTTCTAGTAGTGTATTAATATATTTTTATTTAAATACTAACTCCATACTAAAATAAATTTATATGTCCGAATGTAAGTTGGGAATGATAATTCAAATTGAAACTTATAAATTATCTATAATTTGTAAATACAAGTATGTAATAATATATATATATATATATATATATATATATATATATATATATATATATATATATATATATATATATATATATATGGGGGTTATTTTTACATACCCCCTAGCCACCAAATAAAACTAGGGATAAACCCAAGCACAAATCATCCTTTGACATACCCCCTGGAGAAGCGAAAGTACTATACTACCCTTCTATGCAATTTTCGGCCGAACTGCATCAGCATATATGGTCCTGCATTTATCATTTTCGCTGATTTATTTATTATTATTTTCTATTTTTTTTTAAATAAACCTGTTTGTTAAATATATATATATATATTTTTTTAATTTTTTTTTAATTTTTTTTTAATTTTTCTTTTTTAATTTTCAAAACAATATGTTTACAGTTCTGAAAATAACTACATGTAACTATAGTACCTATAGTAATTCATAGTTATGTCCGTTTTCTTTCCCCATGGTTTTAGTCGATCAATTGTATGCACACACGAATACTGACTTATACAAAATAAATTCATAAAACCCCAACAAAAAATTTACAAATTTCAAATTATAAATACCATCAGAACCAATAAAATACAAATAAAAAATACATACGCATATGTAACTACATGTTACTATAGTAATGTATACAGTTTATTGAACAAATCAGATGTAACTTCAAAGAAAAAATTTGACACCTTCAAGGAAAGGATCAATGGCCTTCATTAAGCTGCAATTGCAAAATCAAAACAAACAGAAATTATTTTAGTGCAAATCAACAAAATTTGAAGAAAAACATCAAAACACTCAAAAATCAACAAACACTAAGAGATCGAGAGATAGAGAGAGAGGTTATTGCTGGGGAATGCAAAAAAATATAGAAATAAATATGAAAAGATAAAAATAAACGAAATTACCATCAACATATAGATCCCGACGAGAGGAATCCAACGGTGGATGACCCGTCAAATTTCGACGGGTGGAACACAAAATAAAGCTCCGGCAAGACCACCGTCCTCGAATGAAAAAAAATTGCAGAAACAGATCCGCGCTGGGAACTGAATGAAATCACCACCAAAAGAGAGAGCTCGACGAGAGGAATCCACCGGTAGTTAAACCATAGAATTCCGACCACCGGAGAGAGAGTTATGTCTCCGGGAAGCAATATCTCCGGTGAGAGGTTTGTAGAGGCGGAATTTTGAATCTGGGAGAAGAAGATAGAGACCGTGAGTGGCTAGGGTTAAAATTGATTTTAGAAGGGTATTATTGGAACTTCAGGGTAGCCCAGGGAGTATGTCAAAATATTTTCGAAATGACGGGGGTTTCCCCGGGAGTGTAATACACTCGGTAGTTAGTTCTATATATATTGGAAATAAAGGGGGTGTACAAAATAATCTATATATATATATATATATATATATATATATATATATATATATATATATATATATATATATATATATATATAAGTTAAGCATTATAATATTTTTTAGAAAGTATAAATATACCCCAATACTTTTATTATTTACATATTTTCCCCACATATCCGTATCCAACTTTTTGAAAAATGAGGTTTTCCCATGTCTATTTTCCGGTTTCACAATGTCAGCGTTCCGGTATACCGTATACGTGCTACATAGTTATTCATACATCATTTTTCTTCAATATTCAAACAAACTCAACTATTCGTTTCTTGAAATCTATATATAATATAAAAAGAGGATCTATGCCCTCAATGATTGACATGTGGCAAATGATGATGTCATTTATCAAAATTGCTTAGTTGGAGTTCAATTGATGATGTGGATTTTTCAATTGGTGAGTTGTCAATTTTATTTTGGTATGTATTTAAGTTATTTCCTATTTACCATTTATACACTCATTTAAACAATTACCACGTGTATATATATTATTTCCAAAATTAATATTTTATAAATTCGAAGTAAAAAAAATCTTATTTACATTTCCAGTATTTCAAAATATATTTATTGGCAATCTTTTTAAAAAATTCAGTACACTCAATTTTTTTATGAATATTCAAATATTTTTCAGGAAAAAAAAATATTTTTTTAATATTCAAATATTAAAATAAAGGAATACAGTTTTTTTTTTTTTTTAATTTTCAATATTCTGGAATATTCGAATATCCATTCAATAAAAAAATATTAAAAACCATATATTAATATTGTTTAATAATGCATTAAAATTCGATTTCAAATTAACATATTAATAATATATTATGAAATTTAAAATTTTATTATTAAAATACAAAAAAAAGACAATAAAAAATAAACCGTGTATATTTTATTTATTTTAAAATTTTCTAAAATCAGAATATATATTTTATGATATGAAATTTGATTTCTTACCTATTTAAGATGATTATATTTAATTGATATAGTTAGTTTAATGAAAATATTCAATAACTATAAATATTGTTTAATATTTTAAAATTAATTCCTAATCAATAGAAATCAAATCATCCGAATTAAATTGATTTGATTTCTTACCTTTTCTTTTTTTCCTTTTCCACCTATAATCATGTCATTTGAAATTTGAATTCAAAAAATTTCCTAATTACTATACACTTATCAAAGCTATATAAACCCCCATCTATTTTTTTCACCCTACACTATTCTTCTTCACCCATTCCATTCGAGTTGTTTTTGTTTTCCGTTTTTCGTTTTCTCTTTTTGGTTTTTTTTTTTTCTGTAATTTTTTTTTGAATTGATTTCATTCATTTATCGTATTATAATTTAATTTAGATGGTTTAAATTCGTTTAATATTTTTATTTAATTGAAGAACTATGCTAATACTTTTTCTTTATGTATTTCTTGCAGATGTTGTTTACGAATCCAACTTATGTTCTATGTGCGACATTGTTGCGGTTTGCATATAATTTCTGTAATTTCATTTATTTATTTATTTATTTTATGTAAAAGTTTGTATTTAGTTTTTTAATTTAATTGACTTATACATTTACCATTATCAAAAAATCCATTATTGTTTTGTCAAACAGAAATGAAAGAAATTGACATGTATTGCATGTGGAAACGTGAACATCAAAGATTTTTTATTTTTCTTTGATTTTGAAAAGAGGATTGGACAATATTGTTGTATGAATAAGTTTCACCACAATTGACATGTCAAACGATATATGTACTTTTGCTTCATTAGTGCAATTTTGGAGTTTTATTTTATTTTCTTATAGTTTACATATCTTACATTCATTATAATTTTCTATTTTATGTTTCAATCTTAATTTTTTTTTTGAATAAGTTACTACATTAACATTAAGAATATTCAAATATATTCGTTTGAACTTCCATTTTTTATGAATATTCAAATAAATTATCAAAACAAATTATATATATATATATATATATATATATATATATATATATATATATATATATATATATATATATATATATATATATATATATATAAATATATATGTATTTCTATTTATATATATATATATATATATAGATATATCGCTCCATTTTTAGCCCAATACATCACGAACTCTTTCATTACAAATGTAAATCTACAGACTACCTATGATGTTCTACATGATTCGACTCTAAATCGCAAAAACGAAAATGCAAGTTCACGTTCGGAATGCGGATAATATTAGATGCGACATCAGATCATACACATAGGGTGGATTTTTACCAGAAATATACGTATATGTCTTACTAGCTAAATATATGGACATTTAAACAAATGTACAGATAG